CTGATGAAGTCCCAGGGTTACAGTCTGATGGTGTCCCAGGGTTAGTCTAATGATGAGCACATTAGAGGAATTTCAGTCCTTTGATGTGTGCTACAGAAACACAGAATTGATTTATTACTCAGGGAAGTTACTGAACAATATCTTTTAATTGACAGTTACAGAATTTATCTGTTGAGATGCATATCATTCAGAATAGAGGAAAAGGGCTGGCAAAATAGCTCAGTGAACTAAGTGCCTGCTTAGGCAAGCTGCAGGGACCAAGGTTTGATCCCTGGCACCTCCTGTTGTGCTGGTCCTGCTCCCAGGGAAGATGCCACTGAGACCCGTCATGGTGGCGCTTGCCTATAATCCCAGTGGTGGGGAGGCCGAAAACAGGAGAATCAGTATGAATCTGAGCTGCTTAGTGAGATCCTGTAATAAATAAATATTTTTTTTAAAAAAGGAGGAAAATAACACTCCTGTCATGAAAAAAAAAATATGTGATTATAATGGAGAAAATAACACGTTTTTGGTAAAATGCTAAATTAATAACATATTGTAAACACCTTTTGAAAATTTTAAGGTTTTAGTAATTGCAGAAATATACTATAAAGGGCAAGAGAGAACTCATTTTAAAGCTTATTTTTACTTCATTTGTGTTTGTTTAGATTGCACATTTCAAATAATAAGTTTTTTAAATTTCAGTCAAAATTATTCATCTGCCAAATGACTGAAACAAAAACATATCCTTCAAGCTGAGAAAACAAGTATATTAATATGAAGATGTTTTCATGTGATTATTTTTCTTTGTAGCATTTATATTTCTGAGTTTACTAAAGCTTAGAACTTCACTATGATTTTGGGACTATCTTCTATTTACATTTGCATGGAGCATTGTGGTTACATAGTTTTATATCAATATTTATGGTGGCTGAGTGTTCTTAGAAATATTTTAAAATACATTTATAAGATGTAATTCTATTTGTGGAGTAACCCTACTGTTCAGATTTTTATTTTCTGTGTTGGGGATTGAACCCGGGGGTGCTTTGTCACTGGGCTATATCCCTATCCCTTTAAAATTTTTAAAATTTATTTCAAGGCAGGTTCTCATTAGGTTGTCTAAGTGGGACAAGAACTTTCAGTCCTCTGCTTCAGCCCCCATCACAGGCATGTACCATTGTGCCTGGTGTTTCTGGCTTTCAGTGGTGTTTGGTGTCCTCACTCTCAATAGCGCCAAGATGTAGTCATTTTGTTTTTAGCATCAGACTAGAAAGAAATGAACACTATACAAGCAAACATCTTGGGGAGATAATTTGAGAGAAGTGTGTGAAAACAGCTGAGATGAAAAGCTGCCTAGATGGAAACCAGTAGGAGAAATCATATAATTCCATTTAACATCAGCTTTATTAGCTTCTAAAACTTTGATGAGTGAGGAAAGAAGGTTCTATGAAGGCAATTAAAAACATCTTGCTTGAAGTACAAGTTCACAGCATGCGTCTTTATTGCATGCCCAAAGCTAAAGAATCATGAAGAATGAGAAAAATCTGAAGGAAAGTCTGCATGATTATACCTATGTTCCTGAATAAGTGGATTTTTTTTTTTTTGGTTGGCTCAGCCCACCCTGCGGCATGGCTGGCATGGCACGTGCTGCCTGGGATCAAACCTTGGTCCCTGCGTGCTTGCCTAAGCAGGCGCTCTACACCACTGAGCTATCTCGCCAGCCCGGAAATTTTTTTAATATAATAAATTTTATCTGTTTTTGTGTTTGTGATCAGAGAAAAGGCAATTGGCTTAAACAAGGCTAAATTATTATTAAAGGAGTAAGATAAGAAACGCCAAAATAAGAGAAGATAACAAAATAAACTGACAACCAAAAATTAATAAGCCACCAAAACCTGTGTTTGCTGACCCTTCAGCATACAAATAGAGCTTCTGAAATCAATTTTCATTTTAGTGGAGGAAAGTTTCTTTTCTAGTATATCAAAGTTTTGGACTAATTGTAGTTTTTTTTTCTCATTCTACTCTTTTCAAAAACAGCAGTGATAAGTGGTGATCAAAAAGCATGTACTACATGCGTAGTATATTATTTATTAACAGTGCCATAACAAAATTCTCCTCAGTGATTTTCTTAAGCAATAGAAATTTTACTGTATCAGTCCTAGAGGCTAGAAATATGAAACCAAAGTGTCAACAGGGCTATTTCCTTAGGAGGGATGTGAGCTAAGACTGTTCTAGGTCTCTTTTCTTAGTTTATGGATGATTATCTTAAGGAGCGATCTTCTCTTCCTGCCTCCTTGTCTCACCTCTCCTCTATGTGTCTCTGCGCTCAGTTTCTCCTTTTACAAGAAGAGAAGTCTGATTGGACTAGGTCCCCCCATCCTCATGGCCTTGTGTTAGCTTCATTGGCTTTGTAAAGGCACTGTGTCCAGATAAGGCCACATTCAGAAGTACTAGGGGCTAGGAACTAACACAGAAATTCTGAGAAGAACATGTAGAGGTGTTTTCTGGACAATTCTCACGTGTGTGAATACATCTTAAAGACAAATTGACTCTAGCGCTTAAATCCCTCCAAGACTATACATCCCTTTCCAGGAAATGAAGTAGGTCTGACATTTCCGGCTTACATACAGTTGGCCACAATTTAGTCCATCTTTAAGTCAAAAACAAAATAAAAAGTCCTAGTTGGAGTCTTGCAGCTTTTTAACTGGAAGTTTAATCAGTTCAAAGTTCTGCATTTCAGTGTCCTGCAAAGTCTCAGGATATGGGCAAAATTAAGACATATTTTACACCAAAGTGTAATATACATGGTCTGTAGCCTACCTGCCAACGGAGTCATTATTTCAACTAAAATATCTTGAGCCTGGCCTTTATTGTTTGTTTTCCCATCAACATTCTAGTCTTCTGAGCTCCAACTAAAATCACTCATCATATTTTGTTTGCAGCATTCTTCTCTTTCTTTTCTTCTCTTTTCTTTCTTTCTTTCTTTCTTTCTTTCTTTCTTTCTTTCTTTCTTTTTTTCTTTCTTTCTTTCTTTCTTTCTTTCTTTCTTCTTTCTCTCACATTCTAAGTCTTCTTTAACACATATCTTCAAAGCTTTCCAGATTCTCACAAGCCAGTTCCAGTGACTTTTGAACCACATGTTCAGGTACAGTCACAGCAATGACCCCCTTCTCCAGTACCAGTTTTCTGTATGAGACAACTTTCTTGTTATTTGGACAAACTGACACCTACAACTTAAAGGAAGAATGGTTTAATTTGGCTTATAGTTTTGGGGTTTCAGTCTCTGATCAGCTGGTTTCAAGGCAGAAATGGAATAGCTGGAAGGAGATGGAGGAAAGCTATCACTTTCCTGGGGCCAGAATTTCTGAGAATAGAGAGGGTTTCAAAGGTACACACCTAGTACTGTACCCTTTCCATCTGGGTCCTATGAACTCAGGTAAGTGTTTTTTTTTATTTTTTATTTTTCCAATTCACTGGTAAGGGTTTCATCCACATGATTCAGTCATTTTCTAAAAGCTGCATCTTTGAACACATGAGACTTGGGGGATATTCTCTAAACTAAGAGTCGAATGAATTCTAAAGAGGAATGAGTGACTCTCCTTTCACACAGGAGGGGCTAGTTTCACTTGGA